TATGTTGTTACAGTGTTTACTATTGTTTTCAACCGAAACAAATTTAAAATAATGTTAGATTTCTGTAGTCTTTCCTTAGTGCAATCTTATATTTATATTTTTTTCCACTGTGATTTATGTAAGAGAAAGACTGATAAACATTTATGTTTATATCATTAATGTTACATTAATGTGTATATTCTATTTGAAAATTATAAATAAAGTTATGTTATACACAATTTTTTTTATTTCCTTCAATTAAATGCGTCATATTTTGAAATCTGGATATGTAACGACTAATTCTAATAGTAATTATAACAATTGACCCCGCATATGGGGCCGATTGTTACAAGTTGCATCACTTTACATTTTTCATTAATACAACAAAATTAATTATATTATTAAATTATAAAAATAATTTCTATATGTTGTTGAAGCATGTGGCTATTGAAAAATATCTTTGCGGTATTTATTACATTTATTAGTTACATGTAAAAAAATCATGAAAAAAAACTGTATCAACCAGCCCCGGTCTCACCTTCTCTTTTTTTTCTTGGCGCTATTGCACAACTCGAATGTGCGTTTGTTTTATACAACCTGTCTGTGAATTTTGGTGTTGGTAACTTCAGTATTGTTGCGTGCTGCGTAGCTGTGAAAATAGAAATAAATGTGCATTATTGTCATATTATGCTCTATTAAAAAAAACAAACGGTCTTCAGAGGCTTATAAAAATGCCATGTATACGGGGATGATGCTTTAATAAAGCGCACATGCCGAAAGTATAGTTGGTTAAATTCTGTTCTAGAGATTTCGACATGAATGATGCGCCCCGCTCCGATCGCCCTATCTAGATTGATTCAAGTTCTGGCCTTGGTTAATTTATGCGGCACTTAAACATTAAGTCGAGAAACGTATGCCAATTGGCGAAAAAGGATTTTAGCTTGACAAAATATGTCAAGATTATATGATTATTGGAGGTTGTTCTTCTTTTTTTCAATAAAAACAACTTTCAAAAAGAACAACTTGTTGACTGACGACAACAATTTTCAAAAAGACTTATAATGGCCTTGATTTTGATACATGTTGTCAAGATCATGATCCTGAACAACATTCAAAAGGTTTTAACCATTGCTCGGACACCTTGGATAATGCATAGACATATAAGATAGACTCCACATTATATAGCTATATATACGCGTCCATGCCATTGCGAGACAGAAAATTGCAAGGTTCCTTATCCTTCTCTACGCTGATCGGATGCGTAATACGATCTAATCATTTGACAACCAGTGGACAGGATGGACAGGTAGAGAAGGACAGGGAACCTCATTATTTTCTCTCTCTTTCTTTCTTATACAATGTAGCATGGATATGCCCCTTCCACCGGAAAATCCAGCCGATGTGGAGTTTATCTTACATGCTATGGGATAATGCTAAGGCCAGCGGTACTGTCACTTTCAAGCCTTATAACTTGAAAAGTGCTCAATGAAAAAATATTTTATTATAGTGTTTTGAAAAGCTCTCGAGATAAGCTACAAGAATATGCAAAAATAAAAAATGGGGGATTTTATTTAAAATTTTTTAGGTTGGGCCCCCCTGGAGAGTGGAGCAGCACGTCGAGGAGGCAACATCCTCAATCTTCTTAAAAGAGTAGCCTCTCGAAACGGTTAAATACGCATTTTGCAATGTTTCATAACTTTGAATCGTTTTCAAAATATAAAGGTCGTAAGAAACTTTGTGGACACTTTGTATACTAGAATATATGTATCACGAACTGAGGTCGTGATTCTTATATCAAGATTTTTATATGTTTTTGGACGGAACAGGTTTGATCGTTCTGAGAGCGATTAATAATGCCACATGGTCTCCTCGCTCAATCAGAAATTTAAAATAGAGACATGTGACGTTATTAATCGCTCTCGGAGCGAACAAACCTGTTCCGTCCGAAAACGCTATAAAAAGTTCGGTACCCCAGCTCATGATACATTCTGATATATAGATCCGTGCTTGTTAAGCTTGCTATTTTATAAAGAATTTAAAAATTAAAGTTTTTTCATGTCGAGAATCAATAGTAAGTTTTATCAAGATCATCAAACTATTGTACATTGTTGTTTGCTGCAGAGATGCCGCGATTTCTAATTAATTATTTTGTGATTCCAAAGTGCATTGAAGATTCCGAAGAGTGCATAGGGTAAACCCGGTATATACGCTGCGCAAGGATTTACGCCGCAAAAGTCAGAAAAAGTAAAAGAAGTGAAACTAATTTTCTCGCAATCACTCTGTTACATGTCTTTATGTTATATTAGTATTGTGTTGTGATTTCAGTTTTTTATTGTTAATATTTATAAAATTATTGTAAGTTAAATCGATTTATCACTGTAATAAGTAGCGCAATCATAAGTTATAATCTACATAACCCAATCAGCACACAATGTTTGAAAAAATATTTTTAAAAATATTAAACAAATATTAAAAAAACATTTTTAAAAACATTTAAATAATGGGTTAAGCTCTTTTTTTCATTAAAAAAACGTTTAT